TGATCTAGCAATCCCACATCTAGGTATTTACTCAAGAGGAATGAAAACATTTGTGCACACAAAAACCAGTATGTGAATGTTTATGGTGACTTATAGACTTATAAGTCACTATGCTTATAATTGCTGCAAACTGGAAACAACTCAAATGTCCTTCAGCTTGTGAATGGATAAACAAACTGGTACATACATACAATGGAATATTACTCAGCAATAACAAGGAATGAACTTCTGATACATGCAACATGGATGAATCTCAAATGCAACTATGCTAAGTGAAAGACACCAGATGCAAAAGGCCATAGAAGCTATGATTTCATTCATATGATATTCTGGAAAAGGCAAATCTATAAGGAGAGAAAACAGATCAATGGTGCTATGGGTTGAATTGTGTGGCCCCAAAATTCATACGTTGAAGTCCTAACTCCAGTATCTCAGAATGTGACCTTATTGGAGTAGTGTCGTTACAGAGGTAATCAAGTTAAAAATGAAGCCTTTAGGGTGGGCCTTAATTCAACATCACTAGTGACCTTATAAAAAAGGAAAATGCGGACACAGAACCATATAGAGGGAATATGATGTAAAGAGACATAGGAAGAAGTCAGTCATTTATAAACCAAGGGGAGAGGCCTGGAACAGATCCTTCCCCCACTGCCCTCAGAAAGAACCAACCCTGCTGACAACTTGATTTCGGACTTTGAGATGTAGATTTTCTATTTTTTAAGCAATTGAGTTTGTGGTACTTTGTTACAGGAGTCCTAGCAAACTAATACAAATGGTTTCTAGAGTGGGGGTGAGGCAAATGTTGAATATAAAGGGTCACAACGGGACATTTTGAGGTGATATGAATGCTCTGTTTCTTGATTGTGGTGGTTACATGACTGCATGTTTGTCAGAAATCACAGAACTCTACACTAAAAAGGGAAAATTTCACTCTTTGTAGAATTATACTTCTATAAACATGACTTGAAAAAAATTAACCAAAAAATGACATTTAAAAAAGATTACTTTTAAAAATTAAATATTGAAGAAGTGACCCAGGGTGTATGTATATACAAGAATATTTACATTAATGTTGTTCATAATAATAAAACAGCAGAATGAAACACAATGTCCAAAATAGGAGATTGTTTGAACAAAGAGTAGTTAAAAGCAAAGCCAAAAGATAAAACTCTTTCCCTGACAGAACTTATATTCCAGCAGATGAGCTAGCCAATACATAAATAAAGAAATAAATATGTAAACATAATATCAGGCAGTGATAAGTTCTGTGAAGAAAATAAAGTAAGGTATGGGTAGAGAGTTAAAAGGAGCACTATTTTAGATACAGTAGTTTGATGTCAACAACTTTGCTCGGCTATAATCCCCAGTTATTCCATCAAATGCTAATCTAGATGTTGCTGTGAAGGTATTTTGTAGATGTGATTCAAGTCCATAATCAGTTGACTTTCAGTAAGGGAGATTGTCCGAGATATTGGGGTGAGCGTGGTGCAGTGATGAGCATGTTAAAAGGCCTTAAAAGCAGAGACTTCCCTGAAGAAGGAGAAATTCCAGCTATGGTGAGAGAGAGAAAACTTGAGAGAAATTTATTATCTTGAAGACCATGTTATCTTAGAGTTTTATTAGCCAGGGAAGGGGGCTACATTTTGAATCACACATATTCTTACTCTGTTTTTTTTTTTCTTTTGCAACACGCGGGCCTCTCACTGTTGTGGCCTCTCCCATTGCGGAACACAGGATCCGGACGCGCAGGCTCGGTGGCCATGGCTCACAGGCCCAGCCGCTCCACGGCATGTGGGATCCTCCCGGACCGGGGCACGAACCCACGTCCCCTGCATTGGCAGGCGGACTCTCAACCACTGCGCCACCAGGGAAGCCCCTCTTACTCTGTTTTTAAAGGGCCTTTAAAAAAACATTGGTACAGTGGTTCTCAAATTGTAGCCACAGACTAACAGCATTAGCATTGCCAGGATCTTGTTAGAAATGCAATTTTTCAGGTTTACCCCAGTCTTCCTGAATCAGAAACTGTGGAGGTGGGTTCTAGTAATCTGGGTTTTAAGGAATCCATCAGATGATTCTGATGCATATTAAAGCCCGAGAACCATGGGTCTAGAGAAATGACTGATATCATTCCGATGACAAAAACTCTAATACAGCAACTCTTGGGTATGTGAGAATAACCCTGTGCTTGTTTAAGTGCACAGTTCTGAGTGCCTTCCTACAAAGTCTGTCCAGTAGGTCTGAGGTGGGTCCAGAAATCTCATTTTAATAAGTAGGTAATTCTGATGCAGGAGGTCCACAGGTGACTCTGAGAACCATGCTCATTTGTCAATTGTTAGTCTCCAGTATATTCAAGCTCTCAGCAACATTGGACATGATGGACCTCATCCACCTCCGGTACCACTTTCTACATTTTGGGACTCACCACTCTCTCAGTTATCTTCCTACTTTACTGGCCAATCAATCACAATTTCCTTTACTGAACTTGCCTGTTCTTCCCAACCTCTAAACATTAGTGCACTTGAGGCCTATTCTTTAGACCTCTTCTTTTTTCCATCCATGCTCACACCATAGTGCCAATGACTCAAATGTGTATCTTCATACATGTATATGAAAAGATGTCTCCACTTGAATATTTTAATGGCATCTAAAACCTAATATGTCCAACACTCATCTCTTGGTTTCTACCCTTCAAACCTGCTCCTCCCCTGTTTCCCACCAATCTTCCCATCCAAATAGATGCCACCACTTCCAATTTCTTCCTGTTTCCCTCAAGTTTTCTATCTTTGGATTCATCAAAATTTCTCTGTTGATCAGAATTGACTCAAGAGATAAAGTTCTGGTTGTTGCTTCCTTTGCTCTCAGAGAGGTAAAGTTATTAGTAATTCAGGTCAAGAATTTATTCAGTGTTCTGAACTTAGAGTCTTATTTTTAATATCTTAAAAGAAAATATCCCATTTTAGACTAGAGAAGAGCAAACGTGGCCTACTGGGGTCAGCAGAGAACAGTGTGTTAAAGATTTAGACCCAGAGAAGGCACTGGGAGTGATTAGTTACTAAGCAACTCTCCTAAGCACTTAGATCACTAATGTGATCAGTACTCAGCTCTGCTGTTGGCTGATGGGAAGTAAGAGACCGGAGGAGAGTATTAGATGAGTGCAGAAGTGCCTCTCAGAGTTGGGACCAATGGACAGACATGGCAGCCATCAAAAAGAGACAGCTGCTCCTGTTTGCTCCATAGGGATTATCAAAGTTTCCTGGAGAATCCATAAACTACTGAAATTATTATCTTTGTTGAGTCCAGCCAGCCTGCTCAACGGCACACCATCCAGACTGGACTCTTAGTTAGCTATCAGTGAATTCGCTTATGCTAAAAATGGACAATAAGTTTCACTATTTCCAGACTGCCTATTATTATTATTTTTTTGTCCTATCCCCTTTCTCTTACACATTCTGTTTTTGCCTTTGGCCCTCGATAGTCTAATGTCTGCGGGAAGAAGGCTTACATATAAGTATTGTAGGGGAGCAAAATTTGCCACCCCTAAATGTGTCTCTTTGGCATGAGGATTAATTTAAGCTGATTATTTTTAAGAAACAGAAGACTCAGGAAGTCTCTCTTCTACATTCTCCTTGGCTGCCTAAATAATTTAGATAAAGGGCCTGTTCCCAGAATAGAGCTATCACCAGAGATATAAGTGTGGTCGGGGGAGGGGAAGGGATGGGGACTCAGCTGGACCTAGAGATCAGAGTCCACTCTGTGTCCCGTAGTCTCTGCATGGCCCAGCAAACATTTATTTACCAAACATTTACTTTTCTACCTCTATGTCAATTACCTTCCTCCTCTTTAAATTGCCCAAACTACTACCCCCAGCATCCTCTTCTGTCTTTAGCTGAAGATAGTACTTAAGGTGAGGATTTAGGCCATTTTGGCAAGTTACTCAGTTTTCCTGGATCTCTCCCAGGTGTTCATGTTATTAAACTTTTGTTTGATTTTCTCTTGTTATTCTGTTTCATGTCAATTTAATTTTTAGACCATCCAGAAGAACCTTGAAGGGTAGAGGAACATTTCTTCATTCCCAACAATATTGAGAAAGAAGGAACTGATAATTGACTTGGGGAAATTAAAAGCAATTGGTTTCAACATTTTGGGCTGCTGCCCACAGTAAGAAATACATTTCATCTCACAAACCAGCATATATCTACTCATAATCAGAAAAGCTCATGAAATAGCATTCACTTACCCTTATCATATAAAGGTATTTTCTCTGATTTTTTTTTCTATTTTATTTCATTAACAGTTTACTGATTGTGACCACTAAAGATTTTACAGTCCACTGACAAATGGGTTGTGGCTCTGAGTTGAAAAACTCTAAGCTATAAAATATGAAAGAGACAAAAAAGTTGAAAGTCCTCCAGGTTTAGTTTGAGTGGTGAAGAAAATGGGTACCACTAATTGATAAAAATAAAGAAGAAATTGGAAAGGGGAGTTGATAAGTTTCCTGTGGCTACTGTAACAAATGTGAAAGGAAAATAAAAATGGAGTTGGTGTTGCTAAGAGAGCTCTGTAAAATGAGCCAGGAGGCCATTGAGGAGGTGTGACTTGTGTGCATCTTGGCCTGGATGAAATCTGGTCTTTTGATTCTTGTCCTACTCAGAATCCTTGTTGGACCGTTACTCTAGGGTGGCTCCTGGCAGCCTGTCTGCTTGTTTGGGCCCTTGCCCTAGAGCAGCTCACGATTCCTGGAGGACAGATGTTTCCTGACGTGCAATCAGGGGTGGTCACGGTTCTTTGGCAGCCATGTGGCTTTAGTCTTTGTGGGCCCTTGACTCTTTCTCTTCCCCGGAACACTCTTTCGGTTTTCCCTGAATCTGTGTCTCCCAAATTGCAATTCCTAAGACCCCAAATAAAGCTCTTTTTTCTTTGCTGCCTCAATACTGATTATTGTTTGACACAAATTACCATAAACTTGGGATCTAAAGCAACAGAAATTTATTCTCTCACAGTTCTGGAGGCCAAAAGTCCAAAATCAGTATCACTGGGCCAAAGTCAAGATGTTGGCAGAAGCACACACCCTCCACAGGCTCTAGGTGAGAATTTGTTCCTTGTCTCTTCAGCTTCTGGAGACTGCGTGTGTGTAGGCACATGGGTTTACCAGGTAATTGTGCCTCTTCCTCCCTCCCTTCCTCCCTTCCTTTCTTCCTCCCTCCTACTTCCTTCCTTCCTCCCTCCCTCCCTCCCTCTCTTTCTTCCTTCCTTCCTTCCTTCCTTCCTTTCTTTCTTTCTTTTTTTTCTTTCTCATCCACCTAAGAAATCACAGTATATTAGAGTAGATGTAGAACCATTTTGTACAAATACAGGTTAGTGCCTAGCACAATATCTGCCATATTGTAGGTACTTGACAAAATATTTGTTGGATGATTGTGATAATTCTTTGCCTTTTAAGTGACCTTTGCCCTAAAAATCTAGTATTTTTCTGGTCCATTATGTGTCTCTTCTTGGACATCAGAAACCTGCATTCAGAATTTGGCATGGAACCTTAGAGGATATATGGTTCCGGTTGTAATCCCTCATTTTTACTCTTTTGCTTTTCTTAATTTTTAAAAAAAATTAATTTATTTATTTTTGGCTGCGTTTGGGTCTTTGTTGCTGCACGTGGGCTTTCTCTAGTTGTGGCGAGCGGGGGCTACTCTTCGTTGTGGTGCCCAGGTTTCTCATTGTGGTGGCTTCTCTTGTTGCGGAGCACAGGCTCTAGGCACGCAGGCTTCAGTAGTTGTGGCACATGGGCTCGTAGTTGTGGCTCGTGGGCTCTAGAGCGCAGGCTCAGTGGTTGTGGTGCACGGGCTCCGCGGCATGTGGGATCTTCCCAGACCAGGGCTCTAACCTGTGTCCCCTGCATTGGGAGGCGGATTCTTAACCACTGCACCACCAGGGAAGTCTCATTTTTACTCTTGAGGTAACAAAAACAGAGAAGATAAGTGATTTGTCTAAAATGATCTAGTGCTCTTTTCACCACACTCCTTTGCCTTTTCACATTCATTTTAAGCCAGGCTTCTTTTCAGTTCACCTGTCAACCTAAAGAAGCAGTACTATTACTAAAATGCGGTAATACTCTAGGTCTTTCCCCTGTTGGTATTTATTTTCTTCAAAAGCAAAATGCTTCATTCCACAGGGACTCAGAGTGACTCATCTAATCACAGCTTTACACAGTGGATCCACTCTCATACCTTATATCTGCTTCTTGCTGCAACTTTGGAAATGTGTAGTGGCATTTTTTGGGTTATCACTATTAATGGGTAGAGCAGGGTTTCTGTATTTTATAGCTCGAATAATGGAATGCTTAGACATTCTATTATGAGCAGGACAGTGTGTTACAACAAGGAAATAGCTCAATTGAAAATAATTACTAGAAGGCAATGTCCTATGCCACAAAGAGTTATCCTCTATGTATTTACATTAGAGTAGACTTTTATGACTTCAGATCATCTCCATTTTTTTTATGGTAAAAAAAATTATGGTGAAAGTAAAGATTTTTTCAAGAGATTAATTTTATCCAGAGATGTCAAAACTGGGTCTCAGTAATAACGTTAGTGTTGTCGTGCGGGTCCCAAAGAAGAGGTGGACAAGGAGAATGGATTTAAACAGATGAACAGCAGGGGACTCAGGACTCCAACAGTCAAGAGTCCCAAACCTCTGCCCGTCCACATATTTATTTACTGGATACACAATGAGCTTGTTTTTCAGCTAGTGAAAAATAGAAATCAGATACAGATCATCGGCTTCAAAATATGTTTCGACCTGCAGGCAAGTTCGTACAAAAACATTTGCGAACCCATTAAAGTAATTAAATTGTTCAATCTTTTCTTGTTCTTAAACAACATGAACAAGTCGTTCCAGGACGCTTAATTCTCTGAACACTTCAAAGAGGTGCTGGAACCATTTGTGATCCTTCAGCCAGATGTCTCTTGTGTGCGAGGACATTTCCGTGTTCTCAAGAATGCCGTCCCAAAACAACCTTTTCATATAAGCTAAACTTTTTGGACACTTTCCACAACGTTAGTTATGTTTTGAAGACACAGATAATTTTAGCCAGGGTTTGGGTGAAGTGGCAGATATTCTTCAGGATCATTCATCATAGAGAAGTCACATTATGTTGAGTAATTTAAGGAGTAGGCTGTGTTTAGAGGAGAATAATGTGAAGTGACCTGGAACTGGTAGAAAGAAAATTATGAAGAAGAATGTTGCTACTACTAATCTAATGCTGAGAATGGCTTTGTGTTGTCAGAGAACATGTGAAATATGGATTTAGTGAACAGAGTTTGGTTAGAAGTTCATGGGTAATTTTGGAACAATTTCTTATTGTGAAGCACTGGGAAGATGGGGCATCTCATTCACAAATCAAAAAAAGTTTTTTTCTTTTAAGTATGATTTTTTAAACACTTCTGTGTCAGGCACTGTGATTTACAGATATTATTTCATTTTACCATCTGTCTATGGAATCTGGACATTCATTCATTCAGTAATAAGTAGTAAGTGAAGGTTTTTTGAGCGGAAGAATTACATGATGTGAGTTATACTTTAGAAAGATTAATATGATAGCATGTGGGATGGCTTATTAGGTTGGTGAGAAACTGGAGGCACTTAGTAGATAATGACCATAGTCCAGTTGAAAAGTAATGAGGACCTAAGCCAGAGTGATGACAGTGGAGATAGAGAAGAGGGGATGAATTTGGATGAATTTGGATGAGATGGCCATAATTAAAGGCCGAGTGAGAATGAGTCCAATTTAGACAGTGGGTTTGGTTTTATTGAGTTGAGGCAGGGTCTAATCAATTGGAGATGTTTTACTTCAATGTAATTTTTAATGAAATGTTGACTATAATAGGAAGGTTTTTTTTTGTTGTTTGTTTTTGTTTACATCTTTATTGGAGTATAATTGCTTTACAATGGTGTGTTAGTTTCTGCTTTATAACAAAGTGAATCAATTATACATATACATATGTCCCCATATCTCTTCCCTCTTGCATCTCCCTCCCTCCCACCCTCCCTAACCGTAGCACTTTAATTAGTATTGCTTTATTTCTTAATATCAGATAGGCCCCCCCCTCAGTTTTCTTCTTTTAGAAAAATATCTAAGTTTTATCACCTCTGTGTTCTTCTAGGTTAATTTTAGAACCTTTTGTTATGTTTTAGAAAAAAAATTCCATTTGGAATTACATTAAACCTGTACATTAAAAAGAAATAATGGTATCTTCATAACATTCCATCTTCTAATTAAGAAACATGTCTCCCTCTGCCAGTGTATATATGTCTCATTTTATCCATTTAGTAAAATTTTATAATTTTCCTCCTATTGGTTAAAGTTATGTCTAAGTGTACTGTCATAGTTGTTGCTTTTGCAGATAGAAATTTTTTTACATTTGATACTCTGGTTGGTTATAGCCAGAATACAAAACACTGCCCTGGAAGCACTTAATGTCACTGGCATGGCCATCTTCAAGGTTACCAGGGCCCTTTTCACTGCCAAACCAAATGCCCTTTTCAGGCTTGATTTCCCTGTGACATTCATCAGTGTGGACTCTCTTTTTCTTTATGAATATACACGTACTATAATATGTAGTGGTAATCCCTCTTCTCTTCTCCTAGTGGATGTTTTTCTCATGGGTATTTAATTTTCTTTCTCAACATCACTTTATAATAGATGGCTCCAGGTTCAATATTCAGATCTCATCCTTACTCATCCATATATACTCAGCCGTTTTTAAGACCTTTCTATGGGTCAGGCACTGGGGTGACCACATCCCTGCCATTAAGTACCTAGACGTGGAACCATAGGAGAAGCCTTCGTACGGGACAGGTAAGATGCTGTATCTGTCAGGATCCCAGCAAGAAACAAGTGGCACACTCAGAAGGGGTGATTAAAGGGATTTTAGCAAAACATTTACAAAGGTTTGGGCAGAGTTAAGGGAAATCAGCAAGGAATTGACCAGGCATGGTGAATTACTCCAAGGCTAGGAACAGAGGAGGAAGCAGTTGCCATGCCAATGCCTAAAGGGGCAGGAAGAGGGAGAAGTTAACAGAACACGGGGTTAGCTCTAAGCCTAGGCTAACCTAGGAGATACCTGCCTGAACACGACTGTGCCATAGTAGAATGCAGCCTCTACCAAACCATACCGGGTCGGGAGGGAGCTGGGGGATAAATACCCCAACCTCTCTCTCTCCTTGTCCATCCGTTTCCTCAAGGCAGCTCCTGGTGGTTGAGCCCAACCCAAAGCCAGAAGGCGAGGGAACCCATGATGCTGTCTAAATAGGTCTGTCTCCTGGGGCATAAAGCAGAGAAGAAGGGTGGAGAGAAACATGAAGAATATTCAGTAGAGGTGCTATGGGATGGCTGACCTCAATTTGTCCTTCCTTCTTCCTTACCTTCAGCTTCTTGCCAAAAGCATCCCTTGGCTCTGCGGTCTTCAGCTACAGTAACTCAAGAGGCAGCGCCTCTTGAGGGAGAAGAAGGCAATGCCGAGTCCTCTCAGGCCTGGGGCCAAGCAGCCACCCCATTCTCTTCCCTCTTTCCCTCCTTCTCTTTGCCAATAGCAACTTCCATGCCTACATGTGTATGTCAGTCTGCAGCGGCTACAGTTGCTTCTGGCCAAAAAGCAAAGGGCACTTTCAGAAAAGAAGGTTCCCTGGGTGCATGGAGTCATCCCAGCTTGTCCCAGTGGCATCTTCTCCCAGCTAATTAAGGACCAACTTGAGTCTTGTTGGTGAACTCGAACTGTTATTTATTGTTGCCAACAGTTTCTGGGACCTGCTAAGTAAGCACATTAAAATGCAAGTGAAAATTTTTGCTGCTTTGTTGAACCTTTCTGGCAGATTCAATTGGGGGGGAAAATGGAACACATGGACCACAAAATATATAATTCATAGTTGTCACATTGCACTCTGAGGAATGATCTTTTTTGAGGCTGCTAAGTGGGTGCCTTTCATCATGGAAGAAATAATGCCACAGAAAGGGAAAAAAAATCTCACTTGGGAGGTCGCATTCCCCATGTGTCCTTGGTAGGATTCGCCTGCATTCCTAGACTTAGTTCCT